ACGGTTGACAAAGATGAGGAAGATCGAGGACAATCGAAGAGGATTGATGATGATGAAAGAGGTTTGGAGGAGAGCGAGACAGGAAGCAGGTACTTTGAAGCTCTTGAGACTGATGGTAGAATGTCTCCAATTGGAGGTGTTGATACCTGTGAGACCGAGCTTGTAGCTAGTTGGCCAACATGTGGTTTTTGGCTGCAGTAGAATCTAACATTGGTGTTTGAATTGTACAGTTTGAGAAATGTATTTTTTGGTTTTTGGTTTTTTGATTTTTTGATTTTTGGTGTTGCTGGTACTTTTTGTCGAAAGGTGACAATGCAATGAAAACAGTGTTGACCACTGGAAATTTGGGCAAAAAGGGGTTTCTGCCATGACTTTTACCCCAGTACAGGGGTTTTATCCCTGTATTTGAGTATTTTCTGTAGTTTTGTCTTTGATTTTTGAATTTCGCACCCGGGGATTGTGATTTTTGATTTTTGAAATTTTGCATTGTCACTTTGGAACATCTCGCATTCCGTACAGGCCTATCTGTGGCCTATTGTCCATATTCCAACTCATTCTGTATCTCCGGCCAATAATCATTCACTGTCATCGTGATGGAAAAGCTTGGTTGTCCGAAATGTCGAACCAACGCCATCGCATCATGGTATAATTGAATCATAGCTCTAGGACTCCCAATATGTGACGCAGGCAATATTACACGACGACCAATGGTGAAGTCATTTCGTCCCAACGCTTCAACCGCACCTGTATACAATTCCGATCTAATCTCCTCTTGGTGCGTTCTGAACCACATCATTCGACTGTGCTCCACGCAAGCGTACAAATCAGTACAGAATTCTTGTAGAAGTAATCTTGAAGCTAAGATGTTAGAAAACTGGCCGCGGCGCTGGAACAGCAGATAAGCAAACCATGCCAAAGACGAAACTGTTGCACCATCATCTAACCCAAAAGGTCAGCTTCTATCGAAGCCATTAAATTTAATGTGACTTACTGTTTTCACTTGGTACCTTGTAGTAGCTGTCATACCCTGCTTGGCCGTACGGAAACAAAACTGGGTATCGTAATGGCAGATATCCCGTGTGCAAGTCGGAGATGCGCTCCCATTTGTCACTCTTTGAAGTTAAAATGAGGTCTCTCTCTCCTTTCCCTACCTTGCCATCCTTTCCGATCACCATTGCCACTTCTGACGCCGAAGGTCGGTTGTAAGTTTGAATATCATGCCCTGCAGCCATGTGGGGCGTGGGTTCAATCGATTTTAATTGGATTATCACGGCGCCCTCCCTTTTCCAAATGTCATACGCTGACCGAAACTGCTTTGTATAGGGATTATATTTATCGAGAAAATCTTGCAGCATCTGCATGATCTTTGCATCCATTCCTTTCGCACCGGCCACACGGACGCGGTGAGCTGCTTCGTTCTGGATTTCTGGCCCCATCATATAAATCTGCGCAAAAGCGGGCGCTGAGCCCTCCTGAGGTAAAATTGATCCCATCCTATGCACCATCTCACCCTGAAATTTGAAGCACCTGATCCCGTAGGGCCCATTCACGGAATGATCAATCTCAGTTCCCAATGATGTGAAACTAAGGCCATTGTTATACGCCCTGATGTTGTCCCGGAAACCCCTAGAATCTAGAAAATGCCGTCAGGTCGTGACATTGTCTTAGGGAGAATACAACTCACCTCTATCGTCACTCGTGAGTAAGTCGTGCATGAACTCGGGTATCGGCGGAAAATCGAAATAATGCTGTGGTAGTTCTATTTGACCCCCGCGACAGCACATCGAATAATGCGCGGGGTACTTCCGTCCGCGCGCTGGTATCTTCTCTTTTAGCCAATGCGCTGCACCACAATCGTCACAATAATCTGTACAGCTGCCGACGTTATTTGGGATTTCTTTTCTGAATCTCTTCATGAGAACCTTCTCCGAGTTTTCCTTTCGGCTACGTACCGCGACCTTAGGCATATTCGAAGATGAATCAGAAATTGGATGAGAAAGTAAATAATCTATACTTCAATTCTGCTCTCATCCGCTGCTTATATTGAGCTGAGTCAGTGCTACTACGCGTTTCTCTGCCTTAGGTGGACCCTACATCCTGACGATGAATTAATCCTCGATTAATGTGTAGACAGCCCACCCCAAACCCTGCAGCACTCTGTGTGGCACCGCAATGTTACCAACTCAGCGTTTCTATTCCCTCAGACCCTGACGGCTGTATACATTACGAAGATAGTCGACACTCGATACACTGCACCCATTACGGTCTGCCCCTTGATAATTGTGTCGAACACCGCACCAAGCCACCTCTACCTCGGCCGACGCCTCATGTCCTCACACCATCAGCACGACGTGTGCAAAGCGTCTGTAACACTGCGAATACCAAGATTCTTGCTGATCCACAACGTTATAACAGTAATTCTCACCGATCTGTACCACATGTGCGTCGCGATAGAAACCCGTCGCCTGTGATGTCTCGTGGGAACAGTCAGAGTTCTCGGCCTACGATTCAAAGAAATCAATGCAGGGGTATTCGCTCAAGGGATCTCGATACACACGTCTCTTCAATACGGCGACGCGTCAATTAGATTACTGAAGGCAGGGCTCCTTGTTGGTGTTATCGCGCCGTCCTTCGAGGGCGTTCTGGGACTGTTGCCGCGCCTTACTTAGGCTGCAGATGCCGTACTGGCTCATTGGCGAAACGTTGGCTCCACAAACACGCATTCCCCAGCTGTGAATAAGTTTTACAAAGGCATAATCCCCATATGGGCCTCACTTAAAATATTCCGCAATAGGGTCGAGTAATAGAGAGCTCAAATGAATGATTTTGTAAGAACGATATGAACATGGAAACTGAAACATTTTTTTGATTTTGTTACAACATTATGAACTTATTCGGACGGCTGGTTTGGCACAGATCTTAGATTGAGGTTGTTAAACCCCTGAGACAGCTGGAAGAGAGAAACCCGCAGTGGTCCTACTCAGAGATGCCGAGAGACTGCATCGAATTTATTAGATCATTGAGCTGCGACGTGTTGCGTCTTTTGCTATGCTTAACTTCTTTGAATGCTTCGAGTACCATAATACCCATCTATTCCGCAATCTGCTTTCGCCGAATCTCATACGGCGCTTGGTGCAATTTTGATGCGGGCGAGCCTTGCCACTGCCGAAGGTACCTAAGCAACGCCTGGAGTGCACGGAACGGAGGATTCAGCTGTCCGCTCTGCTATAATCCTAGTAACGACGACCTACCCCAAAGTTTTTGGAACCGTATCCATTCGACCACGTGGTGCATCTTGGACTGCCGCGCCACATACCGTCATAGCGTAAACCTACCACGAAGAGACCTGGTCATCAGTCATCAGGCGCTCGAAGCGACAGCGACCTCATAGGCATTACGCACGTTGGTCTCCCACATGAAGTTCTCAGCGTCATATCCGACAACTATCCCCGAGACTTCTACCTCCGCTCCCAATTCGCAACCCTGTTTCATTGCTACTTCGCCTAAAGCCGAGCTGACATGATGCTTGGTCAACCACATTACTGGACTACGTGTCTATAGCATAAGAATCGGTCAGTGTGAACTATTTACAATGGCGAGTTGGACGTACAATTGGATCTTTATCTACGGCTTTCACCGTAAGCACCGTTGAACAAATACCATCCCCATATGAACCTCTGATAACCTTCTTGTCCACCACTATTCCCAACGCCACCATGGCAAACTTATTCACGTCCTTGTTATCTGGATCAATCGCAGTCTTCTTCACCCCCGGTAGCTTCACCATCGTGGGTCCGATGAAGTGTAACACATCTGGCCGGGGCGTATTTGAGCCAATGAGCTTGCAGCTGACGGTATAAAGATCACCTTCTTTCAAGTCGATGTCGTTAGAGGTTAAACTCGTTAAGTTGATTTCTGTCGCGGCGGCCGGAATCTCCATAGTACAGTCAACTCCCTCTAAGTTGATCTCCCTGTAAGTGCATAATTCTCTATGTGCATAGGATTTTTTGCCGCCAAAAAGGGGTTTGCCAGCCAAAATGAGGTCTATAAGTGCATATTCCTTTAAGTGCATGAAAAAAACACCCGCCAAACTGTATGTAATTAGAGGGAGTTGACTGTACCTGGCGTCGAAACCTCAGCACTGACCGCGGTGAAACCAGCATCGGTTAAAAGTCGACTGTGAACCTGCGATGGCAAACAAACGATGTCAGCCGACACCGCGCTTTCGGCATCATGTACTACGCACTTGTTTACCAACAACGCCAGTGTATTGGACTTGGATAGGATGTACGACAATTGAAGCATCCATGATAATTCGCGTTATTCAGAGAAGATGTGGTAAATGGCGAGATGAGATGAAGAGAAACTTAGTCTAACAATGCTCTGCAACCGAGATGGTACCGTTGGAATGTGCAGAAACGTAAGAACAGTGTCAGAAACGCGGAAGATGTGCACAGGGGTTGATTTGCGGTCTCTCTATCATCCTCTCATACGGTCTTATACTGCCGAAGTGGAATACTCACTCTGCATAATCAGCCAAAAAAATATTCAGCACGGCATTTCTCTCGCCACGTATCACTTCCCTCATGACACGACGCAACCAAGATACCCTCGTTACGCACCTATCATTCAAGTTAAAGGAAAACCGTGTTCGGCGGCAAAACTCCTAAAACTCCCAAATCCTATTCCAAATTTTGAGGTTTACACGTCTCAACCAATTAAATCCATTACAATGTGTGCCCACTGCCACCCCAATTCCATCTATATCCATTTTCCACAACCGAATCAACCCAGGAATAGCTTGGAGTCAACCTGCCCTGCATCAACTATCCCATTTACTTGCACTCAAACAATCGATGTACCTCTGATTCCAACTACCCATCTCTCGGTATGCTTCCAGCGCTCTCCCAGTTTGACATCCATGCCGCCCTGCCTATCAATTCCCTCGACCATTACCTCGAATCAACTCCCTATTTCAGAACTTTTTGTTCCCTCACTCGCTAGGCTTACCTCGCTTTACGTCCTATGGTCTTACTTTATCTCTTCACCTAAATCCTTGACCCCAAACGTGAAGGTTCCAACTCTCAATGAATACTTCAAGCCTAGCAATCAGTCCACTGACCTTCCAGAAGCAGGTCGAGACTTTGTTACGGAATTTCGGGTCAGAGCCTCTCGATTCATCGATATGCTATAAGCTAACACTCTTGACCAAAGGCTTTCCGGTTTGATTTTTTTAGAAGAAGAAAGTTGATGTCTCCTATGGTCCCCAGACTGGCACAGCTCAAGATCGCGCAACCAGATTGGCAAAGGAAGGTAAACCTCAATATGGACTCAGCAGTCTGGTAGTCAATCCGTATGATTGTGTTATCTGACCCTGTCCCGAAAAACCTCAGTCTGTATTTCTCCTCATGATCCAGATATGATC